CCTGGGGAACCAGGGGCTGGGTGGGGGGCCCACGCCGAGGCCCAGCCTTGGTCTGCTTTTCTCTCTGCTCCCTCAGCTGGCATGTCCCCTGTGAGGAGCCACCAGGCTCCGTCTCCTTCAGTAGTCCCGCCCTGGTCCTGGATCCAGGAAATAGGATTCCTGCTCCTTAAGCCATGCTTGGCTGTCACTGGGTGAGCTAGACATCAGGGGCCTGGTTCTTTCTGCTTTCCCCTTCCCGTCTCTCCATCCACATCCCTCACAACATGGTACCAAAGTAAGGCTTTGAATTTGGGGATGTGAGTGGGGCGGATTGCACTCTTCCCAACAGCAAAGAGGAAGCAATTCTGGTCTCGGTTTGAGAGATCGCTGCGTTCCGAAGGGAGCTGGTAACCGTCCGCCTCGTTTGACCCGAGGAGGTCATTTAAGGGCAGCTTCCAGGCCTGGCTCAGCGCTGCCAACGAAGGAGGGGCTGGTGCTATGGTCATTGCAGAGGATCGGAGGAAGGGTCGGCAGATAACAGCCCGCTGGGTCCCCCCAGGTCACAGTTTGGTGCTGGCATTCCCAAGGGGGATGCTGCAAACCACGCAAGGTCCACTGTGTCCAGGTGGACCCTTCCCAAACCATTTCTATCACAGATCATTTCCCAGAAAGTTTCCGAGATGGGAAATCACACCCGAAGTGGGTTGTTTAGATCGGAAAATCTGGGTGTAATGTCATTAGAGAAACCAGAAAGTCTCCTCACATGAACCTTGCCTGCAACCTCTCCTTGCTGCCTTGGCCTGTCCACTCCCCTCTGCCTGAGTCACGGCAGCCACCAGCCACGTGAGAACAGAGCTTTACGAGGTGCCAAGTGCTCCCATGTGCACCGTGACATTTGTGCCTCCTAAGGCCCTTCGAGATAAGTTCTTGTTAGCTCCACCCAACAGAAGCGAGAACTCGGGCGCAAGGAAGTCGTGCGGGCGGCCTGAGATTGTGCAATCAGCGTGGCAGGACCTGCCTGGAAACCCTGGGTTCTCACCGCGGGGAGCTGGCGACAAGGGATCGCCGTGGCTGGCTTCTAGCTGGGCCTTTCATGGTGGCCTCGGGAGCAGAGGGAGCTAGTGGGGGGCTTTCCGAGAGGCACCTCTGTCTTCCGGGATGCCTCCCACCTTCTTCCATCCCCAGATTGTCCTCCTGTGTGTCGGCCAAACCAAAGCTGATCCTTCTCTTCTTCCCCAGAATCCCCTGCCCCCAAGAGCCCCTGTTCCTCTGTTGCTTCTCTACTCCCCCCAGATACCCTTGCCCTTGCTTTGGAAGTGAGGGCAGGGCTCATCCCATGGAAGTGCTAACATGCTCAGGGCACTTGGCTCCTATGCTCTCTCACGTGCCCTCCCTTAAGCTTTGGCTGGGATGCCCATCTCTGCTGGGATGCTTTTTGGGGCTTGCCAAGAAGGTCCCCTCCCCTCCACACACCCCCTCTCCAACCCTCAGATTTACTATGAGACCTCGAACAGAAATTCAGACTCTTCTGGGCATTTGTGTTCTGGAGCACAAGGCTATGGGAACCTAAATCTGGACTCAGAGAGGCCGAAGTGAGGTGAAAGGTATGAAACGTACCCTACTCTCCTGAGCAGAAACCTCCCCCAGGCCCATCCGTCCCCTAGGGCCGTTGTTCCTCTCACCCCATGACCTTAGAAACCCCTACGCCAGGCCTCTCAGGGAAGGTGATTGTGCAAAAGCCAAGTTTATCCCAAGTAATGCAACGAATACATTGGGGGCCGGGGGGGTGGGGCGGGGAGGGAGGAAGTTTTATACAAAACACATGTTATTGCCACTATTCTAGTTATCTTGGATATTTCCTGCATGTTTGTCACCATGGTAACTGACTCAGCACGAAACCTTGTTTGCTGGGCCCTGGGGTCCAGCATAACGGCCATGTGGTGTCAATTTGGTCCTCTTGGTGCTGTTCTGTCTCTCTGTCCGTCTCCCCCAACTCCTGTCTTTTCATCTTCGTCTGTCCTCAGCCTGTCTCTGGGCCTCTCCGTTTTCTCCTTCCCAGAAATACTGCTCCTGCATCCTTGCTCTGCCCACCCTAGACCCTCCCTCAGCCCCTCCTGGCAATCCTTGGTGTTCCAGAATGGATGGGAAAACCACATCACACGGGAAAGGCAGGAGGTCGGTCTTGGGTGGAGAAAGGGCTCAGCCAGCCTGGGCTATTGGTTTGAAGTAGGCTTACACAGGCTACCTGCAGAAGGCCCTGCAGGAAGGGAGGGCTTCGGTCTAGGAAACCTTTGTTACAAGGATCTGGGGGCTTCTGATCCGACTTTCCCTGTGTGGGAGCCTGTGGTGTCCTCACCTTTCAAAGTCTTCGTTCCCTAGAGTTTTGGGGAAGAGATAGGTATAGAATGGCAGGAGACGGGAAAGGGAGCTAAAAGTCACCTGAGAGAAACAAGAAAAAGGTAAGGGGCCCCCAAGAAGGGAGAGGCTTAGCAGCTAAAGGGCTGGGAAGTGTCTAGGAATTCTGGGCTCCTTGGGGCCCTTGCCATTCCCGGTCATTTCTCCCAGGCCTGCGGGGTGTGGCGGAGCCATGGCAGACAGCCGTGTCCCTCCGTGGGGGCATCAGGCAACGGGGAGGGTGTTGACAACAACAGTGTGTGAGGCAGCTGGGCCAGCAGTCTGGAAAAAGCCATGTGAGCAGACAGAATGTAAACAGGGAGCTCTTGGCGTTGAAGGAGTTGAAGGCGTCTCCTGGCCCCCTCTCCACCCCAGGTCTCATTCCCGCCATGCCCAGGAAGCCAGACCTGGACACCTCTTGTCAGCTTCTCTCTACCAGGTTTCCTGCATCTACACCCTTTTGGAGCAACTTTTCCAGACCACCTTCCCAATCTGCGCATTGGTCCTTCTGTTTCTCATCGTGCTGGAACCCTACTCACTGAGCAAGGTGGGCCCGGAGGTTGTAATGGACCCAGATCTCGGGGCAGAGCTAGCACCCCCGTGGGACTGCTTGGAGGGAGGAGAGGGGAGGAATAGAGTAGGGAGAGGCTGGGCTAGGCAGCTGTGGGGCTGGGCCCTGAGAGCAGTACTCTATTGCCCCAGGGCGGTATCCATAAGGGTGCGGCACTTCAACCTTCTTTTGGGCCAGTGTCCTTCCAAGGAGGTTCAATCCTATGCATAGGTCAGAGCAGCAGGAAAACAGTCCAAAAGAATGGCAGCAGCATGGCTTGAGAGGTCAGCCAGTTGGGTGCATGGGTCCTGTGAGCTTTGGGGCCCCAAAGAAGTCCCAGTAGAAGGGACTGCCGAGAATTAGGTGGCGTGTTGGGGCTCCAATCATGCGGGAAGGGATTCAAGATGGCCTCCAGTCCCAGTGGGAAATTGGAGAGCCAAATGGGAAACTGAGGGAAGACCAAGTGGGCAGAGACTCAGGGGAGACAGTGGGTTTGGCAGATGTCAGAACAGCTACTGTTGGGGGAGACCATTAATTATGGAACCACACAGACATGGCTTAATGTCCAGCTCCACTCCTCGGCCTTGGGAATGTTAGAGAACAGAGAACTCTCTGAACCTCAGTGTTCTCACCTATAAAATGGAGAAAATACTGATTTTGCAGGTTCTTGTAAGGAGTAACTAAGATGTTCTCTGGAAAGTTCCCTGAACAGTGTCTAAGATCTCATGGAAGGTACTTGATAGTGTTCTCCTTCCCCTGGAAAGAGGATAATTCCATACCCTCCTCCTAAGACTAATAGGCTTCTTGTTTTTGTCAGGACTGGTCTTGACCCCGTCTGGCTCTACAGCAGGAAAGGTTAGTACTATTGGCTAAGAGAAGATATTAGGATTGTGAGTTGAAAGCAGGGGAAAGGGGTGGGAGGGCTGGTCCCTCCTGGGAACACAAGAGGGCGGCTGTGAGAGTAGTCCAGTGGGATCCCTGCCAGCGTGCTGGAAACCAAGTCACAGGGTCAAATCCACCCCTTTCTGTATGGAGTTTGTGCAAGCCTCCGTATGGAGGGCTCCGTGGATGACATGGGAAAGGGAATTCCCAGAGCTTTAGAAGATACTACCCCACCAGCAGACAATCTGGGGCCACTGAGTCAGAGAGTCCCAAAGAATCGGGAGCCCCAGCTCCGCCTAAAGCCCAAGGCAATAGACTTAACTCCTCACGCTGCCCTGCTACCTGGAGTCAGCAGCCCTCTGTGGGCCTGTTTTCCTGTTGGACCAATGACTCTGGGTAAGTGAGAAGTGAGTTGTGAAGAAGGGCAGTCTGGTGCCTCCAGAGCAGGTGGTGGGCCCGGGAGACAGAGCGCAGAGGACAGAAGAAGGACCGTGCTGCTGGAAGGGATGCTGGCCCGAGGGAGGGGCTTTCCACCCCTCTCTGTCCTCAGTTGTCCCCACGGAGACCACATCGCAAGACTCAACTGTCCCCTCCCAGTGACTCAGGCTTTGGCTGCCCTCCTGCCCACACCCAAGGCTGGGTCCAGTGCCCCATAACAGGAAGGGCTGTGGTGAGGGTGCTTGGCGGGGGTGGGGGGACTGCTCCAGCAGCCCCCCGGTCAAGGGCCCTGGCGCGCAAAGAAAGGCCTAGGCAAAGAATGCCTTTGCACCTTTCCGGCCACGTCACCCTGTGCCGTCTCAGGAATGTGAGTTTGGACTGTGGTGGGGATCTGTCCTCCTGGCTTTGCACTGAGCACAGCAGGCCACTTGTTTCTCATTAGCAAAGTGTAGGACGTCACCACCACCACCACCACCGAGGGGATGTGCAATTTTTGTCCTATTTGCTAGAGCAATGGGTAGATAGCGGTAGGGATGTGTGGGCTGAGCCAGGCACGGGGTCTGTGGGACCCAGGGGGGGGGGGGGGCTGGGGCTGAGGCTATAAGGGGCAAAGCTATTTGGAGGCCACAGGAAACCACTGTTCATGCAGGAGTCCAAGAACAACTAAGCAAAGATATGGGGAGGGAGGGGGCGCAGGGGGAAAGGAGGAACCAATGATACGTGATTGTAGTCATTGTAATGTATTATGCTATATTATAATCACAGATGCGATTATAGTTATTGGTCATAATCGTCATTAATAGCAGCAACTAGCATTCATTTACTGAGGACCAGCCTGTGCTAGGTGGTTCACGTCTATTACTTCTCTCACTTTCTCAGAACCTCTGTTCTAAAGAGGAGGAAATGGAGGCTCGGAAAGGTTAAGTAAGGTTTTCACAACAACGATGCGTGAAAGCTGGCATTTGAACCCAAGTCAACTGATATCCTGATACTTTGTCCATTGTGCCCCATTGCTTGCTTCTACCAGGCTCTAGACTTTTCGTCTAAGGACACAGTCCGGGAAAGCCTATGGGTGCCTTCTCAGAATTATGTTTTTCTTTAAAAAAATACATTAGATTTACAAAGGCAACCGATTATATCAAAACATAGTTGTCAAAACATTAAAAATGGGTGATATGGCAATCTATGTGCTTCTGTATTAACCCATTAAATAGCAATATTGAATAACTATTATCATTTCAAAATAGTGATGAATACAAAAACGATTTTGTGATATTACCAAAAAGTTCAACGTGATTTCTATCCGTAATAAAACCAGAAGCTCTGGTAATACCTATATTCTTAATTAAAGGAAATAAGTTTCAGAGGACAGTGAAAATAAGGGTGTGATTTTTTTCCCCCATCATTGTTCCCAAACTCCTAGAATTCTATCTATGGATGCCCCAGGGGTCTAGACTCCAGATTAAGAACCTTTCCTTTAGGGCTGCCTGGGTGACTCAGTCGGTTAAGTGTCTGACTCTTGATTTCAGCTCAGGTCATGATCTGACAGTTGGTGGAATCGAGCCCTGCATTGGGCTCTGCATTGACAGTGTGGAGACTGCTTGGGATTCTCTCTCTCTCCCCCTCTCTCTCTGCCCCTCCCCTGCTTGCACTCACATGCTCTCACTCTCTCTGTCTCAAATAAATAAATAAACATTAAAAAAAAAGGAAACCTTGTTTTAGAGGCATGTTGTTACCCTGTGTGCAGGGTGTTGGGCAGGCCCCCTAGAAAACTTCTCTTTTTGCTTTGGTGGTAGAGAGCGTGCAGACGATTTCCAGCCCGTGGAACTCTGTGCCTACCGGGGAAATCTCTATTGGCTCCATGGCCCAGCTCTGACCTGGTCTGTCCTGGTGACCTAACTGGGATTTAGGGTTGTTGGATTTAGCAAATAAAAATACAAAAGGCCCACTTAAATTCGATTTACAGAAAAAAAAAATGAAGTTTTGTTTTTTTTGTTTTTAGTATAAGTATGTCCCATTCAATATTTGGGACATACTTATATTATTTTCCCATTGTTATGTAACAAATTACCACAAAGGTAGCTATCCAACACGAACCCATTAGCTCACAGTTCTGTGGGTCAGAAGCTGGCACAGCATGGCTTATCCGGGTCCTCTGCCCAAAGTCTCCCAGGCAGAAATCAAAGTGCTCTTAAAGCTGTGGGATGAGCTCAGGTGGGTTGTTGACTGAATTCAGTTCCTCGTGATTGTAAGGCTGAAGTCCCTGTTGCCTTGCCGGCTGTCAGCCAGAGGGTGCCCTCAGCTCCTAGAGAACGCCTACATTCCATGTCATGTGTCCCCTGACACTTTCAAGCCAGCACACGATTGTGAAACCCTTCTCCCGCTTCAGATCTCTGACTTCCTTTCTGCCACCACTTGGAGAAAACACTTTACTTTTGAGGGGCTCACTGTGATTAGATGATGCTCATCGCGACCATAGCTCTTGTGCCACACGACATCACAGTCCAAGGAGTGACACCGAGAGATGCAAGTCGTGGAGGCATCTTAAATTCTGCCTACCACACTTATGCTAAAAATGTATTTGTTGTCTCTCTGAGATTCACACCTGCCCGGGGGTCCTTTGAGCTGCTGGCAGCCTAGTGGGGTCGCACCTGCTGTGGACTTTGCCTCACAACCAGGGTCAGCTCGTCTCTCTTCTCAACCTCAGTTTCCTCTCCGAGAACGGAATTCTTTCAAATCCACATGCATGAATTGGGCGCCAGCCACCACGCGGCACGGCGTGGACAAGAGCCTCTCTCTGCCTTGGCCAGATCTCGAGAGTAAAGGTGGAGACAGACATACACGAGTCATGGCTGGTAGGTTAAAGTCTGGTTGAGAAAAGTACCACATGGCGTTAATGGGGGAGACAGATAACTAACATACCTTGGCGAACAGCAGAGGGAGAGGGACTTTGCTTTTAGAATGGAGAGGGACGGGGGAGATTGGCTAAGCTCCAAATGAGGTGCATTTTCAACAGGACTTTGAGACTTGGCTAGGCAAAACTCGGGAGGGCGTTTTGGGCAGAGGGGACAGCACAAGCCAAGCCAGGTGGGGAAGGATCCTGGTGCGCGCTAAGGTGGAAGGCGCAGATGGAGGACAGGGCACCTGGGGGTTGCGGGACCAGAGGAGAGGAGCACAGTGTACGAGGGAGGCAGGAGTCAGATTGGAAGCTTCGAAATCTCCATTAGCAGGTGTGGGCAGGGGTCTTCAAGCCCTGGAGTGCGCAGCTGGGAACAGAGCTGCAATGGAAACGATGCTGCTGCCTTGTCTCTGGTGGCAAGCAGGGCTCTGACAGGGCCGTTGGGAGGTGGCCTCACACAGTGGACAGAACGTTGACCTGCCAGCCCGGAGTCCTGGGGGCCGGCTTTGCCAGTTACTCATGGAGGGACTCTGGGCCACGTCTGGAACATTGAGGGGCAGCAAGGAGCCAGTGTGATTTGAGCAGAGTAGGTAATTGGTAGAGTGTGTGTGTGTGTGTGTGTGTGTGTGTGTGTGAGATGACATAGGGCCTTGTAGGCCATCAGAGATGCTGGCTTGTATCCTGAGGGAGCAGGGAAGATGATAGGTTCTGAGCAGAGCACCGACATGATCTGACTGAAGTATTCAGTGGCAACCACCGCCGGTCTGAGGGGGGACACTTTGTGCCTTGTGCTGCCCCACAGTGTGTGGAATACAGGAGCGCTACGTTATAAGGTCTCTACCCACAGAGAATGTACATTCTCCTGGGGAGACATAACAGGAAGCAGTGGTAGGAAAGGGCTTTAAGACACAAGAACCTGGGTTTGAGTCTGCTCTCTGCCACTTCCCAGCCTAGAAAGGTCCTGAGGTCTCAGTGACCTCAGCAGTAACATGATAATGACCAGACCTGCCTGATGGGGTTATTGTGAAGACTGGCTCATCACTAAGTGCCTGGCACAGAAAAAGCGAGTAGCTGATGTGATTATCAAATGAATGGTACTCAGTAGCATTCAGCTACTCATCTAGGAGCGCGGATAATGGCGGCCGATGGTATCGGAGGCCGCGAACTCCATGAGGCAGGGGACATCGGCTAGCCTCCAAAGGTGGCAAGAATCAGGAGGAGGAAGGGTGGTGGGGCCCAGCAAAAGTCCACAGGCAGGCATAAGCAGAGGGCGGTCTCCACCAAGGCGTACTGAGTGAAGCCCAGAGCGGCTGGGGAAGCAGGGAGGGCATGGGCAGGTGCCGAAGCAGGCTGCTGGGAAGGCCGGATTCAGAGAAGCCTGAACATGAATTATCTAATTGGTGGTGACTGGGAGTGGGAGAGAGACTAGCCTCGGGCGGGTGGGAGGGAAGAGCTGGACAGACACAGCTCTTCCCCGTCACGGGACCAGAGGGGGTTGGGATGGGGGTGGGTCCTTGGCAGGTGTCCCAATGCCCAGGATTGCCATATAGGAGGAGCTGGGCCAGTTTTTCCTGAAACCTGATCTTTCAGGCAGCTGTCCCCTCAGCCTGAGGGACCATGGGAGGGGACAGGGGACGGATGGGCTGTTCCTTCCCAAGATATCATTTCCACCAGCCTCCCACCAGGGCCAACCCTCTGAAAGGAAGCTGACTTAGAGACGGGGGTGGGAATGGCAGGGGCCCCACTCATATCCCAGGGAGTCCTCAAGGGAAAGTGGGAGGGTACCACCTATGGTGGGTGCCCCAACTTTCTTCCAGCCTTAAGTTGTGACTGACAGGAGAATGCCTAGACCCTGCATTTGGATCTGTGCGCCTTTTTTAAAAAGTTTTTTTAAGTTTATTTATTTATTCTTGAGAGAGAGACAGAGAGAGCGAGTGGGGGAGGGGCAGAGGGAGAGGGAGAGAGAGAATCCCAAGCAGGCCCTGCACCGTTAGCACAGAGCCTAATGTGGGGTTTGAACTCACAAACCATGAGATCATGACCTGAGCCGAAAACAATAGTTGGACGGTTAACCGACTGAGCCACCCAGGTGCCCCGGAATCTGCGAGTCTTTAAAGAGCTTGGGGCTGGTGACTCCCAGCCTGGACACACCAAGTACCCAAGTGTCCCTGGAGTTATTAATGGAGGGTTATCAAAAACCTTATAGAATTTTCTGCAATAAGGCTAACTCCTACCCATCCTTCAGATGTCAACCTAGATATCATGCCTTAGGAAGCTCTCCTTGACTTTTTATATGAGTCAGGCACTCGGCAGGAAAAATGGTTCATTCAAACCCAGGAATTGAGGAGAATTTAAGAAGGCTATTCGACAAAGCCTTTGGCGCGATTAAGGGACACTAACTAGGGGTGGCGATACACCTAGAGATAGCATCCCAAGGGTCATTCTCCCTAGGCAGTTACTGGAACCCTGTAAGTCCTGTAGCCATAAAAAGGGCTGCCTGAGAGGCACTGTGGCCTTCAGGAGAGGATGGCAGCCTCAGCCCACCTATGGTGGTCGATCCAGGAAGGAGCTAACCTCACCCTCTTAGGGCCAGGGTCTCCCATTGGTGAGCCCAGTGGGAAGCCCATCTGGAAGCTCAAGACAAGGGCAGCCCCACTGATGCAGTCCTTTGAGTTAGACCTTGGGACACAGAGCAGGGTGATCCAGGTGCAGAGCAGATCTAGAAGGGCAGAGGGAGGATATCTACCACACCTCCTGCATTAGTCTGTTCAGGCTTCTTTAATAAAATACCATAGACTGGGTGGCTCGGTCAATAGAAATTTATTTCTCACAGAGGCTGGAAGTCCAAGATCAAGGAGCCAGCCAATTCAGTTCCTGGTGAGGACTTGCCTCCTGGCTTGTGGACTGCCACCTTCTCACTGTGTCCTCACATGGCCTTTGCTCAGTGCATGTGCATAGAGAGAGGGCCAGTGGGTCTCTTCTACTAAGGGCACTAATCCAGGGGCGCCTGAGTGGCTCAGTCAGTTAAGTATCTAACTTTGGCTCAGGTCATGATCTCCCGGTCTGTGAATTTGAGCCCCGCGTCGGGCTCTGTGCTGACAGCTCAGAGCCTGGAACATATTTCAGATTCTGTGTCTCCCTCTCTCTGCCCCTCCCCTGCTCACGTTCTGCCTCTCTGTCTCTCTCTCAAAAATAAATAAGCATTAAGAATAATTTTTAAGGGCACTAATCCCATCACGAAGGGCCCACCCTCATGACTTCATCTAACCCTAATCACCTCCCAAAGGCCCACCTCCAATGCCATCACACTGGGGGTTAGGGCTTCAACATACACACTTGGGGGCCACACTCGGTCCATTATACCTCCCAAGGCTGCATTCCATATCTCCTGGACCTCCCATCCCATCTGTGCTTACCCACAGGATGTTGTTATCACACCCTATTGTGTTGGCTGTTTCCTTGTCTGTACCTGCTAGAAGACACAGTTTATTCACATGTGTTCCACACAGTTCGTTGGGAAGACAAATAACAAGGTGGTTCAGAGTGATGAAAACATCACATTTCCTCGCTTTGGCTGGAATTAAATCATCTCAGTGTGACAACAGCCATGATCTCCTGTAATCAGAAGCCTGGATCCCCAGTTAGGCCTTGATTAGGAAAACAC